TAATTATGAACAAATATTGGGATTAAAAAAATAATAAGTAGGTAGGTACGATATTTCCATGTATTGTTATTTTTAGTAAAAAATAATGTATTTAAATAATTAGAAATACACAAACAAAACAACAAGCTGTCAACCTTTTTCTAGGCTGTCAAATATGACGAATTTACCAACGTTGTTAATTTTTAATTTTATTGATTATTAAATGATTTACTTTTTTTAAATAGAGAAAAATATCTAAAGAAAATGATGAACAAATCCTTTTTACAATTTTTTTATTATTCAAAAGAATTACTGGTAATTTTTAATGTTCATTATGTTATGATGAACGTCCAAAAAGGCGTGTAATCTATACTTCTGACAACGTTGGAAGCCGTGTTTCTTTCGACGGTGTTTAGAATGTGAAACTATGCTTTACTCGCTTTTTAAACGAAAACAAATCCGTCCATTTGTTTTGGTGGTCTGTGGTATTACACGCTGACTTTTTCTTGATTTCTATTTGAAATTTGTTTATGATTTGTTTTATTTGCATAATTTCAACGTCAATTTTTGACATTAGTCCTATAAAACGACATAAGTGTTCAGATTCTTTCTAATTACTTTCAAGCTTTGAGGTAATTAAAAAAATTGCAATTTTTTTTTTTTTTTTTTTAATTATTCATTTTAGATTAAACGCGGCAATTAATGTTGAACTTTAAACTTAACTAATTTACACTTTAAAATACAAATTAAACCCGAAGAAGTTGCAAAAGCACTATAGTATGTACGCTATAGCGTTAGTGGAAGATGGGCGGAGCGTGCGATATGCCGCTCGTGCGTTGAATAAACCAGAAACTACCATTCGAAGGGCGCTCCAGAGTTACCGTCAAACAAATATGATGACCCGGCGTCAAGTATCTGGTCGCCCAAGAGCTACATCAGCAAGACACGATCGCTTCAAAGTTTACGAGCCCGTCACCAAACAGCTGTTAAGCTCGCTCAAAGACTTTTAGGTGAAAGACAAAGAGTTGTAAGTGCTCAAACAGTTAGACGACGCTTGGAGGAAAATGGTTTAAATCAAGAACACCTGCTCGGGTACCTAGACTAACGTTGCGGTACAGAGAACAGCGACTTCAGTTTGACCAAATTCACTAAGGTTGGAATGAAAATGATTGGAGGCGTGTTTTGTTTTCAGATGAATCCCGGATTAGCTTTCGTTCACCTGACGGACGCCATAGAGTTTGGTGGAGCAAGAGAATTTTTGGGGTGTTTCAGTAATGGTTTGGGCTAGCATTTCATTAGACGCAAAAACAGAGCTTTTTATTCTTCGAGAACGTTCTTTGAATGCAAATTCTTACATTAGACACATTCTTGAAGATTATGTTGTTTCGTTTGCCCTAGTAATGCCGCGAGACGAGACAAGACGAGAAAAGTCCTTCCCTCGTCACGTCTCGTGCAGCTAGAGAAAGTGGGTCTCTCGTCTCGTTGAGAATACTCTTGTCTCGTCTCGTTTTTCTCGTGGTAAAAGTACCCATGTATAAATACAAAAATTATTTGGAATGAAATACGAATTCGTTTATATTTTTTTCTATAGAAATTTAAACTGGAAATAAAAAAAACCACACTGATAAAGTAAGACTTTTTAAGCCGAAAATGTTGCGCATTTGAATCAAATGGTTGGATCTATGTGGAGTAGTTACATCTAGTATATATATTTAGGCGCAGTACTTTCAGATGGATGGATCAAATCATTTGATCCATCCATCTGAAAACTAATGCGCCTATTTGATGTAACTACTTCACATAGATCCAACCATCTTGTACCTACTGCGCATGTCCGTCATTTTGAATCCGCAATTTTGTTTTTTTAATGGATATCAAATTCTTAATCATAAATATCTAAATACTACATTTTACCCAAAACATTAAAGCCGAACGACCAATTTTCGTCATATTGGATCAGCCATTTTATTTTTTGAAGAAATGGATATTAAATTTGTAATCAGCCCCTCAAAAACCACATGTTTTTGATAAGTTAATTGAATAGTATAAGGAGTGCCATAGATACAGGGTAAATTATTATTATTTTATTTCTTTATTTTTATAAGTTGTGTTATAAAATAATATAACGTTAACGGTTAACCAGGAACAAATTTTGTTTATTATGAAATGCGAATAATGTTCTCATTGGTCCAATTAAATATCGTCATTTATGTGCAAAATTATAATTTTTATGTAAAAAAATTGTTTACTTATTACCGAGGATAATCGAGAGAACGAGAGAGATCGAGAGAAACGAGACATTCTCGAGCGAGAGAGGGCATTCTCTGGAGCCTTTTTTCGAGACGAGAGGCGAGCATCTCTCGTATCGGCGGCATTACTAGTTTGCCCCCTTTATTGGTCAAAATTTTTTGTTTATGCAGGATATTTTTAATAAACATCCTCCACAATTTAAGCTAAACAAAATAAAAACCAGTGGATAACTGATAATATTCGCTTGTTAATTTAACTAAGGGATAAAGCCTAAAAATTAAATTTAAATAAACGAAACTACAAGCCCATTAATATTACTATACTAAAGATCTTAGAAACTTCACTAATGTGGCAATAAAGAAATGAAAAAGAGCCTATTTTAATTTTAAACTGAATATTTATGAGCCAAAGGCAATGTGGAATGAACTTCAAAGGTTGTATGTTAATAAAGAAAAAGGATGAGTTACCAATTTAAATATTTAATCAAAATAAGTTAAATGACTCCTTTATTCATGGTGTTCCCACATCCCAGGTAAATAATTTAAATTTAATCAGATATTATCAAAACACAACTCACAATAATATTTCAGCAAAATTTAATTTTAATTTAATTGTTCAAAGTGATGTACTCAAAATAATAGGATTTAAACACCTTAATACAAGTTCACTTGCCAATCCACCATCAAGAGATGAAAATATGTCGTCAGTTATATTTATTCACAACCCACACTGGATTGTTTATTTATTAAGGCCCAGTTGTATAACAGTTGGTTAACTCTTGATAATAATTATTTAATGATTAAGATTACTTTCAAGTTGTATGAACAATGATTAAAATTTAATTAATTGATCAACATACAATTTAATTAACAAATCGGTCAATTTGGTGTGGTTAACACCGGGGGTTAACCTTATAAATGTCAACGTTTAAAATTTTCATTATTTTTTTTTGTTAGTTGTGGTTAGCATTAAAATTGACAAACATTTAATGCATGATGAAGATTTTTTAGAATTAGTAGAAATTGTTATTTTCCTAGAAAACAGAAAATTTCGTGTTAGACATATTAGTATTTACAAATTCAAATGAAGAAAAATACAGAAACAGATTTCGTCTTCGTCAAAAAATATTATAACTTTTTGAAATAAAGAAATATCAGCAATAATTTCTTAAAGAACTAATACAAAATAAGCGCTTTCTTTCAGGTAAACGATTTTATTAACTTAACGATTTTTGGAAACAATTATATTTTTCAAATCAAAAGCCAATATTCTTTTTTACCAAAGTTAGCAACCCTTTTAGCAAAATCTTTTATTTTTGACCCATAAGCTAAAGCCATTGTTTTGTACAATTTGTACAAAATTTTAAAAACTAACAAAAAACACTCAACGTAACACAAAACTGACCTGCAAGAAGAAATATTATTAAATCTACTCACAATTGTACATTAATGTATGCAATAAATAAATTAATAGCAATAGGTATACTCAAAGATAATATCTTTGGGTATACTTACTTAAATCTTCCTAAAGAACAAAAATTATAAATGGTTAATTTCACAATTACGAAAATTATGACAATTGACAAATGCGAAAATTTGCTAAATGGGGATTTTTTGAGTGAATTCCCCTAAATTTGAAAATTTACTAATTAAAACATAACCGAGTGTTGCACAACAAAATTTTCCTTAACCAGCTATTATTGATTAATTCGTGATTTATTAATCTGTTGTTCAACAGACTTTTATACAACTGGGCCTAAAACTGTTGTGCTATGCCCTTTCCTAAATCCAGATTAAAGATCAGAAATAATCTTATTGCTTATAATAAAGTTGTAAAGTTTGCGGTATCCTACCTTTTCCAGTACTTTTTATAGTTCTGGTAAAATACTAATGGGTAGAAGATCACAAAAAGTATTGAGATCAATATTTTTAGCAAATCAAATATAATTTCCACAATTCCGGAAAAAAATTCATATTGCAAACAACAATTAATTATATGGGCTATAATGTGGATATAGTAGTCAGGCAGAGTTTTAATATTTTAGCAGAGATATTTTTTGATCTATAAGCATTAGATTTTAAATTTGACATGATTTTATATAATATATTATATTGTCCACCGTGGCTAGGTAAAAGGAAAATGTGGTATCGCTAAATTTTAATAAATTGTATGTATTTTGTACATGTAGTGATCTACTGTTGTCATAGTTGTTGGGTGGACTAAACACTGAAATAAAAAAATGTTTATATTTTCAGGATCTCTTAAATTATTGGAAATAGAATTTAAAAAAAATTGTTTCATATTGTTTTAGAGTTTTATTAAAAGCGTCTTTGACTTTGACTAACCACAAGCGGCACTCGAATAATTTGCGTCCCTTGTCTGGCGACTGAAGACGCAAACCTCATCCTCGTTAATAGCCTGCATTATCTCTCGTATAATAATATACTATTTTCCGCTATATATAGATATATGACAGAAACCAATAAAAATAAAAATTTACTTATCTTTTTTAGCTTAAGTTTCAAACATTGTATACAGGTATAAATGTAACACTACTAATAATAAATCAATAATAATAATAATAACAATAATAATCAACAAAAGCACTTTTTAGTTTTTTATATTTTTGTTATTATTTTTTAAACCAAACAGATCAAGTGATATGATGATATTAAAAAAGCCGCAGTAATCTGTTGGTTAATTATTGAGTGAAATGTATGGAAATTGGAAAAAAGGTAAAATGTGAGGTTGCCGGAATAAAAATCGAGTGTAAATTTTAACAGGAACGTACGTTTATTTGCACTGAGCGGAATACAAGCTAGCGTACGAAGTCTCGCCGACTGTTTTGTCCGGATGACAAACATTTATAATTAACTTGACAATAAAACAGAAATATATTAAATATAATTGTGATAGGGCCAGCCAAATTTCCAATCAATAGAATTGAAAGTTTGGCGCCTGTGTTTCACGTATATTTATTTATATATAGAATTAATTACATATAGATTTAATATTTTTCAAATAAATATATACAGACTAAAATTTATCACCATCATTAAGAAATACAAAATTGAAATATTACAAAAAGATTCAGATTTTCGCATACTAATTATTTACAAATTGTGTCATCTAAAAGTCAAATATAGTTAAAATACATTTACAAATATATTTCATAAGTTACTGGTATAGAAAGATTATATCCAAATACTAAGTGAAGATCAACTTCCATTGGCAAAATATTTTGTTTTGTTGTTGTATGTAATTTCATTTACTTTCCTAAAGATCATCTTAAATTCTAAGATCGGCCCGCAGCCTAGCCGGCGAGCGTACCAACTAAAAGACAATAATGGAAACTACGTTTAAATCACCAAGAAACATGGATAAACAAAAAGCCTACTTTCAAAAATTCTAAACGAATGACTTTAGATACACCTTAGCACAGATAAATTCACTTGCTTTTTATTAGTCCGAAGCATGGTCTTGCAACTTGGATGAACATTACCCACATTTTTAAAAATTCTATCGCGTGCACGTTGGTTTGGTTCACATGTTCGAAAAAAATTATTTGGTAAGTAATTATTGCCGAAGTCCTGTTTTGTTTCAAAAAGTAACTGTCATAAATGTGTTTTACTTACTACATGTAAAATAAAAGGGTAGAGGGCTTTGTTAAAGGTTGTTTGCAAATTTTGTACGATTTTACCCTTACTGTTGTCTTATTTTGTTAACCAATTAGTAGCATAGATCGGTGGATGAGATTAGAAAATGAGTATACACTTTTCCAATTCGACAATAAAATGTTGACAGTTTCAAACAAAGCATACGTGAGTAGTTCAGTTTATTTCACATATGGCTCTAAAATCTGTTGCAAGACCTGTATATTAGAGCGTGCTCTAAAGTATTCATTTTGACATTTGACAACTAACTTACTTCGCCCAGGAAACAAACGCTTCACCTCGTTTAGATATGGCCATCTATAATTAATATTAAAAACAGTTATATTAAATACAGTAAAACAGTTAACATTAACCTTTGTACATGCGAACCATTCACCTAAACGAGATGCTAAAAAGTTGGGCCGAAGTATATATTTACAACAATTTGAAAATAATAACAGTAACAATTCAAGGAAAACAACAACTTGGTGATTTAAAGTAGTTTCGGGAGACAACATGGAGTATGTCACTACAAAGAAGGCAAGTCCATTGGTTGAACACTCGCACAGTGGTTACTACGACAATTTTGAGCGAACAATCTTTCATTTTTATACATTCGAATAACCTAAGAATAGTCTAAAATTTGCTAGTGAAGTTATCCGCTCAAGTTTGGTATTTAGATCACTGTGCATGGGGCCGGTTAAATTGTAAATTGATAAAAAAATCAATTCCGGCTAAAAAATACGAAGACTTCAAAGGAGAGTGGCCTTTTTTTGTTCAACCAACGTACGTTAGCAACATACAAGCAAACGAAAATGGCATGTAAAAACATACAGAGTGCATCCAGCAACTTTTTCAATTTGACGCTCTGTATAAACCGAAAAAGTGGAAATATTAACATTCGCATCCAGCAGGTATAAAACTTGTTATAAACTAATCGATAATATATTACTCTGATTAACACTAGGAAGAACTGACTCGGTTATCAGGTTTTACAAAAAGCATAATCTTAAAAGCAAACAAACAATTTTGAAAGAAATTCATCCACGTTTGTTTTCAGTTAAAATGAGGGAGGACACTGTTTTTTTAATAAGTTATCCCAATAAAGCCAACTTTATTTACATTTAAATATAAGAAAATATACCCAACGTAAAAAATGTAAATCTACCAGCGATTTTATTTAACAAGAAAAAGCTTTATAAGTGGGGTATTTTTTATACATTCAGCGGCACAAAAGTCGATTCAAGCCTCTCAACTTAAAAAGCCTTGATATTATATACTCATGATCGTTATTAATTTATTATTATTAGTTTTTTGAAAATAAACATTTACAGAGCCATTATAAAGCAAATTGCTACATCATTTTAACTGAAAAAGGCAGTGTTGCATCCATAATAAAAATCATTCACTCCTATTAGTAAATATAATAATGATAACAAAGCATGCGGCTGTACAAAAATGCTTTAATACTAAAACCTATACAGGACTAACATTCATTCGCACTATATTCTAGACACATTCACTCAGTCAATCATTATCTTTTGGGGGGAAAGAGAGTAGAAATGTATAGAATGCATAAAGAAGGAATGCGTCGGAGCTGTGCGCGCCCCCTACCTGTCACTTTGACAGTTCGGCCAGGTCGCGCTTTATAAAATGCATATTGTACCTCATACAGCTTAAAACTTATGGCTTATCGTTGCATTTTTGAAAAAAGTAGATATATCATCCAAGGTCACTTTCTCAAAAAATATAATTACCTATTTTTTAATACTTTCTTTAATTGTTTTTTTTCTCAAAAACTTTTTCGACTATATATAATTTTTTGATTTTTTTATTACAAATAGTGACATTTAGCCTAATATCCGGCGGTGTGCGCCTGCACAGTCTTGAGTTAATACTTTGACACATTCGTACATACTAAATATAATGACTATCTAAAAAAACTATTTTCTTCGTCCCAAATCTGGCGATTCGTATAATAATCGACAAAAATAATAAATTCAATTTAATTCATCAGAAGTAGAAAAACGAATAATTTGTTCGCCGCTCTTAAAATAAATGAATAAAATTTGTGAAAGCGTAATGTATAAATATAGCAAAAAAGCAAAACATAATATTAAAAAATAAATCGTAAAAATTTCTTGCTTCAAAATTAATGCAAAATAGGCCAGTCGTTAAAGGAAAAAAGTATACAAGAAATAAAGTTTGAGAAAGTTAAACTAATACTATATCCGAATTTGCAAACCGGAAAAATTAAAAAAAAAACAAATTTTTTGTCAATTGCAAAATTTGAGGAATATAATTAATTTTAAATAATTAAGATATTTAGGAATAATTTTTTTAATCAAAATTACAAAAGTTGTACATAGAAGCCTATGCACAAAATAATATTCTGCATAGGGCATTCCACGCCAAATCGGATACCATTTTAAATTTGCATCTCCGATTTTTTTTTGATTTTTTTATTTTTAATTACTATTTGAGAGTAGCCTCTATGGTTTTTTTCTTTTTTTAGGAGATGATATTTTTTTTAATTACGTTTTTCTTTAAATATAATTTTCATGTTTTAAAAATAAATCGTTATTTTTAAAATCGACTGATCGATTTATTTCAAGTTTAAAAAAAACTATTGTCCATTTAACAGTTTAAGCCTGGTCCAATATCTATTTTGTTTAAATTTGTAATTATGTTTTTTTCCTTCATAATCGATAATACAAGCCTAAAAAAACAAGTGGTCTGCGCCCCCTGAACCTAAATCTAAACTCAGTTTAAGTCCTACACATCTAGATTATACAGTGTGTTGAAAATAGGAAAAGCTTTTTGTGTTTCAAAAAAAACAATCTCCATAAAAATGTAAATCTAATACTCATAAATTAAGAAAATGCTTAAAGAGAGAAGTAACATTATTTATTATTTTATAGAAGAATGTTGACAATTCAAATTGTCTAGATACAAAATAATTTTTTTAACAACACATAAGAAAATCATGACTAATATCACTTATTTTTTCTGGGCATGTGTTATCAATTATCAAAGCAAAAATAAAAAAATATAATTAAAAATTAAAAAAAATCGCATCTTTTCCCATTACCGGTCAAGGTTTAAAATTTGTTAAATGGACAATAGTTTTTTAAAAAAATTTTGGAGTACATACTTTATTAATAAATACCGTTTTTTCAGTTTAAAATGTTATGGGGGTTGAAAAAATCATAGAGGCTAGTCTTAGCTAGTATGTACTTAACCATAAAAAAGTTAATAAAAGTAAAATGGCGTGGAATGTAAATTTAATTTAATGCTAATAGCATAGCTAATAGCATAGCTAATAGCATTTTGGATTAACGAAAAGTTAATTATTTATTTATCTAATGTGATATTTTTAATGGAAAAAGGAATCGAATTAATTTAAAAGATTTTGTTTAAGGTTGCAAATTATTGTAATACTAAAAGGAGCCTGGTATCAACGTTGCAACCTTTAAATAACCTTGTTAGTTTGATTTCCTTACATTTGGAATTACAAGTTTTTTAATTTTTTTAAAACGTTCCGGTTTTTCAATTAGATTGCATGGTAGGGTTTAATATTAGTATAACTTTCTTAATATTCTACTGGAAAAACGACTCCTTAAATGACTGGCTTAAAAATCTTTTTGTCAATAATTATACCAATGTATGTATTATATAAACGTTCTTCTTAAAAACAGTTTTAACTTTTACATTTTTGTTCACCATTGTTATCACAAATTTTTATGCTATATGCCCCTAACAGATATTCTAATTATATTGCATATATTTTTCATTATTATTTTACTTTGTACAAAAAATAATTATTGCACATTACTATAAAACAAATAGAAAACTATATAAAACATTTAATACTTAACAAAAAATAAAGGTTTGTAAATAAAATATACAAAAAATAAACAATAGAATTAATTAATATACACACAACTTATACAAGTAAATGGTGTATTCAAAGTGTAAGACTGTTTTTAAAGAGAAAGTACAAATTTTAAATAAATATAATAAATAGGTATAAATTAATAAATATAAAATGTACACCCAAAATAACCAGCAACACAAAAACGACTTTGAAAATATTATTGATATGTTATAAATTTTTTTATAAATTTATCTATATGTAATTATACGTTTTAATAGCGGGAAGTTCGTGCGTAGTTTTTTTTCTAAATTCATTTAATCAGTCGTCATTTATCATTAATTTAACTACTTATTGTTTATTAAAAATATTTATCACAATTTAAAAATTAGCTAATTATCTTTTATATACTAAATGTATATTTATTTAATTTATACTAAATAATTCCTTTTTAATCATGCAAAATATTCTATAAAATTAGGGCATTAGTGTAGTTAGGCCCCTAGTGGATTTACTTGGCCTTTTTATGGAAGTATTAAAAATTGCATTATCCTCGCCACTATTAAGCATTCAATTTAATTAATAAAACAAATCAACAAGCTATATTTAGATGGCGTATGAAAAAAAAATTAACATAGTTTTTGGCGTTTCATTTTGGGTGCACGTGCCAAGCAGTAATAAATTTATCGTCCAGTGGACCAAGGTTAGAATCGACGACGAAGAAAACAGTTTCGCAACCCTTACGTCTACTATAAATGCTCTGTAGGTGTGTGTTCAGCCCTAGCTGACAATGTCGATCACAGGAATGAACATCACTGAGGAATTTCCTCCGGACGACCTTGCCAACGCCCGTAACCAATTTCAAATCGTGACTAAGAGAAAAAAACGTTTGTTCTATTGCTCGATAGATCGAAAAATTTAATAAAACAAGATAATTGAGTGGTGTGTTCGTGTTTTGTTTAGGTTCATTTAAGATATTTTTAAAAATATTTTTATGGATTTTTTTTTGGCATTTTGGGATTGATGTTACGTGTATATATTGTATTTTTAATCGTTTGTAAAAATGTAGTTTTTTTAAATTTTTTTAAAATATTAAATTTAGCTTTGTTATACCTAATAATAAAAATAATAATAGTCACACTAGTATCCTTTAAAATTGTTTCTTACTATTTTATAACAAAGATATTGTTAATGTAATTTTTTTAGTAAATAATTTAATATGGCAAAATGACAAAATTAAATAAAAAATTTCATTGTTTACCACATTGAAGTTTTTTATTTATTTTTTTGACAAACAAGTAATTTAATGCATTTAAATATTATTCAGTTTTATTTCTTATAGCAAGACGATATTTTATTTGAAAAAAAAATCAAGTAACAAAAATCCATTCTTTTTTCGTGAATTAGCTAAAGCTTGGGTTATAAATATAAAATGGAATGGAAATAAAAAAAATGTTTTGTATTAAAAGTAAAATTACTTGTATTTGTGAATAGAAAATAATTTATAATCTTTATGAAGAAATTAAAATTTACCATTAATTATTACTGTTTTATTTAATTTCATCTTATATTTGTTTGTAGAAAAATATTTTCAAATTGTTTGACCATTAATTTAATTATCTTTTAATGCTTTCCACTTTTTATTCCTTGAATAAAATACAAAATGCATTAAAAAATGAAACCCAAAAAACCCCGAAAATATCTCAAAAATCTTCATTGAAATGGTTCCGGCGCTGGCAAGGCCACCTTAGCTTTTGCGTGCGCTCTTAGAGTCCTCACCGAAACTTATACTTAGGTTTTCAAGTCCATTATTTTTTACACAATCCTATTTACACTAGCGGTAACTTGGCAGTGATGCAGGCCTTCCTCGTCTTCGACTATTAGGCGTGACGTTTCATGTGCAAGGCCAGATGATCGGAACGGCTGAAGCACCGGTCGCAGTGCCGGCATTTGAACGGTTTGGCGCCCGTGTGTTTGCGATAGTGGCGCGTCAGCTCGTCCGAACGGGCGAACCTCCATTCGCAACCCTCCCAAGAACATTTGTACGGTTTTTCTCCTGGAAAAAAATAAAATATAACATTAGCATGGTTAGAGATATAAAAAACGGTTTTTTTAGATGTGAAAAAAAATATGAGAAAAAACTAGAAAAAAACGGTTTTTTTGTTTTTTTTTCAAATCCGCTGCAATAAAGCATATTCTGTCAATAAATAACATCAATCTTAAAAAATTGAGTAATTTTTCAAAATGAAATTTTGAATAAAATGTAAATTAATAATTCCTAAAGTGAAATGTAGAATATATTACATTTTTCATTATTGAAAATTTTGATCGAGACTAAAAAATCTGATTTCGTATTATTTGGTAGTTTCCACATAAGAAACCAATAACAATGTAAAACTTCCACACTAATAGAAAAAATTAAAATATAAAAAAATTCCAAATTTTTTGAGATTTTTTGAATAGCTATCTTCGTTAAAAATGGTCGTATTGGAGCCGTAAAAACAGCAATTTGAAGCTTGAAGTTTTTAGTTTTGAGCAGGGACCCGGACCGAAACCGAAAAAAACCGAAAACCGGAACGGAACCGGTTTTTTTTTTTCGAACCGAAACCCGAACCGGAACCGTTTTCGCTTTTGATAAAATCTGTTGGACCGGAACCGAAACCTTTATTTGCTTTCATTCTAATAACATTATATAACATATTAGGTTATAGATTAAAATTACGTAAAACAAATAACCTCACTGGAACCGCTTAAAACCGAAAAGAACCGAACCGTTATAACTCCACGAAACCGAAACCGGAATCGGAACCATTAAAACGAAAATAGGGTGAACCAAAACCGTACCGGAACCGATATTTCATTTCGGTCCGGGTCCCTGGTTTTGAGATTTGTAGATGAAAACGTGCAATGCTCAATCCTAACGAATACCGTAATACAAAAATTCGGACCAAAAAACAAAGCCAAAAAAATGTTCTGACTTAACTACCAATGAATAAATGTTCTACAAGAATTTGCTATTGTTTTTTGAAAAAAAAAATCCATACTCTACATGAATTTGAAAAATCATGAAAAAAAGTGCTTTTGGTAGCATTTTGAAAAATCAAGCGCTGAATCAAAAATATTATAGGTTACTTTTTTTACTTTTTTTAGGACCAAATCAAAACAAGCGTGGCCCTTATTGGTCAATTCGGTGGCGCGTGCAAAGCGCGAGACTGTATTTACATTTACTAAATGTCATTTAGTGGCTAATTTTAGTCCACGAACTGGACTGGAAACATAAAAAATTAGGCAAATGGGACTAAAATTAAAAAAAAAAATTAAAAAAAAACGGACTGTTTTTTTCCAAGTCGCATCTAGCATGGTAGACCACAAGGTTCTATTCTAGGGCTAGTGATGAGCAAAAGTCTTTCACATGAAAGAGCTTTGTTAAAAAATCTTATTTTTCAAGATCGAAATAAATAGTTTAGCAAATCTATCGAGACTTGGTCTGGCTTTGCTAACTAGACGAACTTATCTAAAATGCATTAAAAACTAAATGCCACAATAAAAAACTGTAAATAAATTTTTGTAAAATCTGTATTTTTTTGCTTTTATACTTATAACTATAACTACAAAACCTCAGAAGATATTTTTCCTCTACTAAATAGTATTATACAGATTAGTTTTTAAACAGAAAATAATTTTTCCTCTATAAGGTGCTCTATCACAAAAAGTTTTTAAGAAATTCTAACCCAAATATGAAAAAATTCATTATTATTCTTCATGAAACTCATTGCGCCATTTAAAATAACTACTCTTAATGATTTATCGGAAAGGATAAAATATATTGAAAACATTTTAAAATGATTTTAAAAATGCAGGAAGAGGTGTATAAAAAATAGTTCTTTATGAATTTCTTAAAAAACTGACTTAAAAACGTATACAGGGTGTCCCATAATTAACGTGCAATACTTTAACAGCAGATTCTCCGTACAAAATAAGAAAAAAAATCCTATAAACATATGTCGAGAAATGCTTCCTAAGGGAGCTACAGCCCCCGAAAGAGGAGCCCCTGAAGATGGTTTTTATTTAATATCTCTAATAAAGATAGACACGTGAAATTTTGGAAATTGATCAAACTTTTTATGGTCAATAAGATGTAATAGGTAATAACAATTTCAAATTTTTCATTTGGGGTGGGTCGGATAGATAGATAAGGGTAAAACTACCCTAACTTTTTTGTGCGTGTCTTGTCCAAGGATATGATGTAAGATTATGTTATTTTGGAGCATTACGCACAAAAAAGGTCCAGCTTGGGCCATGGAACACAGCTGCCATGTTTAGGAAAAAATATTTATGCAATGTAACAGGAATTTTAATCAATTCTCAAATTTTAATTTTTCTTTGTTGACCGGTTTTGGAGATATTAAATAAAAACCATTATCAGGGGATCCTCTTTCGGGGGTTGTAGCTCCCTTAGGAAGAATTTCTCGACCTATGTTTAGAGGAACTTTTTTTTATTTTTGTACGAAGAATCTGATGTTAATTATGTATGTATGTATAATTAAACAACTAGTAAAAAACTATTCTTTTTTAATCGAGCTAAATTATCAATTATATCAAATGCAGATTAAACACCTGTTTCGTATAACCCTTCAATCATTGAAAATAAAATTAAAATTCTCCCGTGAAATTTAAAAATAAAATGTATATTCCAGACATTTAACAAACGCTGATAAAAATAAAAGTCTGTTTTGATTTTTGATTCATATATCACCTATAGGTAACATATTTTATTAAAAATCATATCCAGTGTCCCGTAAAATATTTGTTATATTGTCGGTATTAAAATTTCAATTATTAGAATGAACGAAATTTAAAAACCATTTGTAGACAAATATTCGATATAAATTTTAATTAAAATAATAATAACCCCCAATCCGTTCGGATAAATAAATTCAATCCTGTTGAAATTAAAAACTAAATTTATTATTTACACTCTTATAAACATTAAAATATTTTTAGTTTATTTATAATTATAAATGTCATACAGAAAATATGTGGGTTCCGCTATTTATTTTATTTTAATCCTAAATATTTTTAGTTTATTTATAATTATAAATGTCATACCTACAGAAAATATGTGCGTTCCGCTATTTATTTTATTTTAATCCTAAATTAAAATTTCCGCAAAATTTAAACTTCGTGATTAAAGTGTTAATATTTTAATAAATATGGTTAAAAAAATAGGTTAAAATTTTATATCATAATATAAAAACATGTCTATGAAAAATAGGATAAAACACTTTTCAATTTTGTTTTTTAAGCATTCCCGCTATTTACTTCAGCTTTTGAAGCGTCGAATTAAGCGCCATGAAATTTACGCGACCAACTTTGAAAACATCGTTTTAACCCAAATTTAAATTCAAAGAAAACTCCCGCATTTCAAAATAAATGTTGCATTTTTAGCTGTTGTGTTGTTTGTTCTTTACTGCGAAGAAATATTTGCCACACGGATATTTTAGCATTAACAATAAATTCGGCTCTGCTTTTTGTTTTCATAAAGAAAGGAGATTTGTTTGAGTATTACTCAAATTGTTTTGGCACACAAACTCTTGGATTTTTGTGGACAATTTATTAAAATAAAGTGTTTAATAAGTTGTTGGTTACTTATAATAATTTTAAATTCAATCAATTTTGTTACTTATTTATTTGGTTACTTATAATAATTTTAAATTCAATCAATTTTCTATATGTTAAGTTAGTATCTACGTTTAAAGAGTTTGATAAATAATGAGGCCGTAACAGCAAATTCGGCGTTGCTATAGCAATTATAATGTAGTAAAAATAAAACGTTTTTTAATTAAAAAACTAATACTTAATAACAAATAAAGTATCATTAAAAACCAAAAAGAACATAAAAAGTAAAATAAGTAAAAATATAAATTTTTAATTTGTGGTTATTATAGCAAAATTAAGGTCTGTCAACTGTTCCCTAAGTTGGCAGCACAAAATTTGAAATACGACTTTTTGAAAGAATCTATGGAAAATAAAACTTGTGCAGAAATATTATTTCACACAGATTTCCCAGATCATTATAAAAATTCTTTTCCAAACTTGACAAACAAAATAGGCATGTTAATAGCTTAAAAATTAATTATTTAGTTTATTTTTTATGGCAACCTCGTGAGATAGGTACACAGAAAAAACGCTAGCTTAGCATGAATCCGTATTCCTGAATAACAGTTCCTATAATACCAATAGGTAGTTAGCACTTGGTTTTTAATCGTTTACTGTTTTTAAATTAACAACAAAAGTTATCGCTTCTAAATCTATTGATATTTATAATGATATTTATTTGTTAGAATGTTAGAATGTTATTGCATTAAATACTAATTTGATTTATTTAATAACGTTACTATAGTATGTATACTATGTATACATTTAAAGCAATAAATTCTTTGACATTTAGGCAAAATGTTTCCCTATTTTGATTTAATAGTAATTAATTGAGCAAATAACAATTTAGATTGGTTCAATTTTAATGAATTCAATGACAGCGCTGCTCTTGGTACTATGTTGGATTTTTTTATGTGTACAAAATAAAAAATGGCGTATGCAAACAAATGTAAATTTAAGCATTATTTTCTTGAAATTAGATCTGTAAAAAAATCTTATTTGTGAATGTGTCTGATGCCTCACAAAATCATATATTAAATTTCTATTTATAATTATTCTATGTAAACTCTTTAAATGGAGATACCTACTTCCTTAATGTATTTTTTTTTGTAATTTTGACAATATTTTGATATTTATGTATATTAATGTTAAACAAATCATTATTAAAAATATTCTTCGGTCTTGGCTCTTGTGGTGCGCGCATCGCTTATGAAATAGTGTGAAATATATTCCAGGAATAGAAATTTTCCTGTATTTCTCGATAATATATCTTGATTATTTCTTTCATAAAGGAACAGAGGTTATATAACCTATATGTGTAGATGTATCTTGCTGAAATCATTGGACGTTAATACTAGTACCTGGATAATAAGGACCATATTGAGTATATCCGCTTTT